GTCTGCGCTCAAAAAGTTAAAGCGCGCGTTAATAGAGTATCCTGTCCTCAAGGTTGCAGACCCGTCCTTGCCATTTGTCGTCACCACGGACGCGAGTCAGTATGGGATAGGCGCCGTGTTGCAACAAGATGACGRCAATGGCTATAGACCYGTAGAGTTCATGTCCGCGAGGATGCCTTGTGAGAAAGTCGCTACCTCCACGTACGAAAGAGAACTTTACGCCCTCAGGCAGGCTTTAGACCATTGGAAGCACTACCTGCTTGGGAGGCACTTCAAAGTCTCCTCGGACCATGAAACACTTAGATGGTTGAAGACCCAGGCCAAGATGACACCCAAGTTGACCAGGTGGGCCGCAGAGATAGATCAATTCGACTTTGAGCTCAAGCCAGTGAAGGGCAAGTACAATGTAATGGCGGATGCTCTAAGTAGGAGATCAGACTGCTTTGGAGCTGTAGTACATTATCTGGATATAGGGAGAGACCTGCAGGAGTAAGTGAAACAAGCGTATACGCAGGACCCTATCTATAGCGACCTCCTAAAGAGAGTTAGAGAGGCCCCAGAGACCGAACCAGATTACCGCACTACATACGGGTTGCTGTTTGAGAAGACTAACGTGTTTGACCGCCTGTGCGTTCCCAATAACGAAGAGATTCGTAGTCTAATTCTAGGGGAATGTCACGATACTGAGGGACTCTTCGGTTGGCAAAAGACGTTAGCCAATCTGATGCGTGCGTACACATGGCCAGGGATGAAGAACGACTGCATAGAGTATGTCCGCAGTTGTAAAGTATGCCAGCGAAACAAATCTACTTCATGCGCGCCCCCAGGTCTTCTCAGACCCTTGCCTATTCTGGATCAGCCGGGAGACTCAGTGTCCATAGACTTCATGGACACGCAAGTCAAGAGCAGACATGGTAAGAGCCAAGTCATGGTCATAGTCGACCGTTTTAGTAAGTATGCAATTTTTGTCCCTTTTGCACGTACAGATTTAGTAATACAGAAGTTCTTTGAGTCTTGGGTTAGTCAATAGTTAGTGATAGAGATAGTCGYTTCACCAGCCAGAACTGGCAAGAATTCGTGAGAGTCTACGGATCTAAGTTATTAATGTCGTCCGGCCGTCACCGAGAGACTAACGGTCAGACAGAACAGATGAACAAGATCCTACAGCAAGTTCTGCGCATGTATATTAGACCAGATCAGATCAACTGGGATGAGATCTTGCCCAAGGTCGCTAGTGCGTACAACAACAGCGTGCATCTATCCACCTGCCGCACTCCTAATGAGTTGCACAAGTCCTTTAGACCGCGCAGACCGTTCGAAGGACTGAACCGGGATCAGATTCACAGATTACCGCCCGGTACCAGGGAGTTTGCGATACAGCACGAAAAGGAATTAGCCACTGTTGTTGAGAACCTTCGGAAGGCCCAGCACAGAATGATAGAACAGGCTAACAAGCACCGACGCCCATCGCAGTTTCAGGTGGGTGACTTAGTCTGGGTCAAAGCAAAAGAGTTTGCACCTGAAGAGAACATATCGCAAAAGTTACTGCCTGCATATAGAGGACCGTGGCCGGTTCTAGAAGTCAAGGGCGGAGAGGATGGACCGTCCTACAGCATTGAGATTCCAGCACACGTCCACACATACCCTGTGTTCCATACTTCGAAGCAGCTGCCGTGTGTCACTAGTCAACGGTTCCCTTCCAGGAGATCCATGATCCCACCGGATATGGATGGGAGTTGGGCATTGTAGAAGAGGATGTGTTCAGGACATCGTCCCCAGAAACAGTATAAAGTCCGGTTTGCCTATCAGGAACTGGAAGACGACCGCTGGTTCACGAAAGCAGAACTTCTAGAAACTGCTCCCGACATAGTCAGAGCCTACGAGCGTGACAAGAAAGGTAAAGGTACCGCCTTGGACTGAAATTTTCTCGGAGGACCTCGAATTTAGGACGGCGGGAGTGAAACGATTTTCACCTTTTAGCAGTAGCGGATGCAGTACCCAGGGTTCGATCCCTAGACCTTACCCTACCCATGTACAGTATCTGTGTAGACCCCGGGAATTGAACCTGTGACCTGTGTATTCGTAGGCAGTTGGTAGGCCTGTCGTAGGTCCATAGGCAGCAGGGGTTCGATCTGTAGGTCTATAGCGTAGGAGTCTTAGTGAGTTCCGGAAGCTTAGCTGTAGACCTTCTAGAAGGTAGGCAAGTGGGCAAGTGGTCAAGTGGTGAGGCAAGTGGTGGACTAAACCGCAGTGCAGCAGCAGTACAACGTCGGTAGGATAGCAGTGAGTCCACAGTCAGTCAGCGGAAGGTCCAGTCAGTTCCAGTCCGGTCCAGCAAGTACCACAGGGGGACTGTGAGCACCAAGGGCCGATGGCAAAGGGCAGACTAACGAGTTTCTGAAGTATAAATCAAGAGGCAGCGCCCAGCCATTGATTCATTCCTGCGTGAGCCATGGGGAAGTGCTGCCACAGCGACTTGTGCAAGGAGGTCTGCAGATGAGCCCGGAGGACGCAGTGGGCAAGAGAGGAGGAGTTAGCATAGCGATAGGTTAGAGGCAGCCATAGCTGCCATAGCTGTAGTTAGTAGT